ACACTGAGCTCAAGTATCTTCTGGGTCCAGCACTAAAGTCCTGCAGAGAGGCGAGGGTTTGCATTGAGGAGAATCTTAGCTGACTCCCACCTCTGTAGTGGGGCTTCCTCATGCTGTAAAATCCGCCCCCCTCCACCACCACAGCATTTCCTGGCAGAAGCCAAAGTATCACCAAATCCTCTAGCCTCAAAACTTCTTTTGAAGTATTAGTAATTCAAGTGCTCAGCAACTTCTCAAGACCTAATTCTTCTCTCCACACACTGTAGTTCTGCTCTCACATAATAAAGTCCCCAGATACTCATGGTTGCGGGAGAGTATCTAGTTGCGTGCTTGGAGAGGCAGGAATACTCGAGCTGGATGTGAGGGAAGGAGCTCTGGAGAATTTCTCCCATGCCCTGAAAACCACCAGCCTTGAGCTTATGCTTCTGGGACGGCGCTGACTGCACATAGCCAGTTGCTGCCAGAGCGATCTTTCTGAAACACGTCAGAACAGCATTGTGGTACCGTCGCTGTCTCCGCTGGCCACTGCGTTTAGCTCAGCATCCTCCTATCTCTGGGCCTCAGTTTAAAAATGCCAGGATAAGCACAAGCTGCTGCTATTTTAATTGTGTCCTCCTTAATGGACTCAATATTCCTTGAAAGCTATGACACATAGTCTTCAACTGTGTTACCCATGACATCTATTACATCAGAAGTCCGTGGTTGTGAAAACAACACATAAACTGAAAAGGGACTCCCATTTCTCAAATGCCTGCTATAGACAGGCACAATGCAAACCACTTTCCTTACACCATTCACATCTCACCATATTATGTAGGTATTATCATAGTCATTCAATTTACAGACATTCTGTGGTCACGCATTTTTAGCTAGGATGTACAATATCTGTTTGATTCTGTGGCCAGCTGGCCTGGGATTTTGGGCAGGCCTGGTTTCTCTGTTTCTTCTGTGGTCATTCTGAGAAGGCAGATAAGCAGACTGGGCACTCCTCTGTCTGTCCCCTGGGAGAGCCTATTAAAGCCAGGCCACCTTGGCAGATGTGGCTGCTCATGCTCTGTGACTCATTAGACCTCACACACTCTGCTGCTTTCCAAGAGCTGCTGTACACCCACAACTGTCTTTGTGCTGCCCCGAATGCTTCCAGGCAGGCTTCTGCTCCCAGAGATGCCTCAGCACTCACGACTCAGGGGTTTCTGGGGACTTGGTGGTGTCTGACTTGTGGCTGCGCAGCCCACTCTCTGAGTCAGGCTCCCGCCAGCTAGACTTCATTATTACAACTTTCTCCCTTGTGGTAACACTGAATGCTGTTTTCCATCTGCCAGTCCCTAAGCCCTCATCTGCTGTTATGAGAGGAAGCCAGCCCCATTTGTGAGCTCACAGTCAACATCGAGGGGATATCACTGTGCTCCCCTTGCTGCTCTGACACCCACACTACTGAGGTCATCACTGACATTAAAGGGAATGATCCTTCATTGAGGCAAACCACTAGATTCCTGAGATGGACTGTGGCTCCATAAACAGATGCACCTCAGTCTCTTATAATCCTGGGCTCTGAGCAGGGCAAAGAAGGTTAGGATATTAAATCATAGTGCCTTACACTTATATTACACTCAGGGTATGCAAAAATCATTACACCGACCCCACAATGGTACATGGGCAGGGCCAGCAGCGTCCTTCTCACTTGGCACAGGAAAAAACTGAGATTTCAGGGGGAAAGGGATGAGCTTGAAACCTCAGAGCTCATTTATAGGACATTCTTGGTAGAGAAGCTGACCTTTTGTGTTCTCTGCACCTGTATGGTCCTAAAGAATAGAAAGTACTCAATAAAGTGAGTTCACTAACAAAGGATGTGATCAAGGACTTAAATTCAAGCCTTGTCCATCATAGCCTTGTGCTGTGAATTTTACTGCTGCATCACTATGCCTCAAAATCTCCCAGCAACGGGTAAAAATGATCTGAAATCTGGCTGGCTAGGGTCAGCACACCTCACCTGGGATAGCCTGTGACTTTGGGTAGGTTATCTGTCCTCACTGAGCTTTATCACTTGTAGAAGTAAAGCTAACAACAATACCTTAATTCATTGTGTTGTGTTAAATCATAAAATGTGTGTAAAGTGTACAGAGTAACTGGCCATTGTATCTAGACAGTGCTAAATAGATGTCAGACATAGTTGTTATTACTAAAAGAAAGGGAATAGCCCCTATATATCTTTGTAATCCAGACCCATGCCAGTAATTGACACACACATACAAGTGCAAAACCCTAGACATTTTTCTACCAAAAATGAAACCCATGGTGTGACTGGAAACAATTTTTCCTGAGCCTCAATTCTCACTCCTGTAAATTGTGAAAGCTGAACCAGGTAAACCCCACAGTTCCTCCCAGATCTCAACTGTTCCATGAGCGGTTCTTATTGGGGGTTACTGCTCCCTACCAAACATGGGGGTCCTTTACAGTGTCTGAAGGAGAGGTTTTGGTTGTCACAATTTAGGGAGGTGCTATCAGCCTCTATTTGCATAGAGATCTGAGATATAGGGATAAAATATACAGGATATTCCTCCCCAAGGACCGGTCTACCAAAATATCAATATTGTGAGGCTGAGAAACACTGATCTAACTCTGTGCAAATATCTAGAGTTACCTGATTTCATGGGTGAGTGCCTTGTGTCTTTTAGTTTTCCAAGATGCCCCAAGGAGCAGAGTCCCTCAATGCAGCAGAGCGGACAATTGATTGTTCCTTCTGTTGTCACTTTCCACTCTCACCATATTGATCCTGTTGAAGTGGGGAGTCTGGGCCAGGCATCTTTAATTTAAATTTGGAACCATTCCTGCTAATTGTTAAACTTCAAGATGGCTCTGCCAGGGCTAGAGAAAAACATCTCTGTATCTTATATTCACAAAGCCTGACACAAAACCCCTGTACATCATTGGACTGACCCTAGCATAATCCTGATCCCTCTCTCCTGCCGCAGTGCACACCCTCTAGAGAGTAGACCAGACCATACGGTGATGGAGCAGTTGGATTGGGACTGGTAGGCACTGGCCAGCCAGGGGGACCTTGATATTGGTGACAGGCTAGACTCTAGTCTAAGGAATTTCCTGGCTGGTTCACATCAGGAAGTCATAGTCCTGTTTATACCAACTGCAGAGGGTAACTCTGAAGATAGGAGCAATGCATGCCCTAGGCTCATCTGCTGGAGACATCAAACAACCAAAATCATCTTTATCTTCTTGCAAGGATCTTTTTCTTTAACTTTTTACTTTCCCACCCCAAGCCCCAGATACTTGCTTTGGGTTTCCTGGAAAAAGCATAAACAAGAAAGAAGAGACCTGGGGCCCAGTTTAGACTACATCATTTTCTATTTCTTCTTTCTGCTTCAGTTTCTAATCTGTTAACTGAGAATTCACTTGGTAGTCGTGAACAGATAAAGGAAAAGAGGAGAAAACCTTTTGCAAGCCCCTATGACTAATCACTGTCTTCCCGCCTACTCACAGGGAAATGAGCACTGCTTTGCAGGATGTGCCAAATCCCTTCGGCACTCTCTCCTCTCCACAGTGATTCTTTATTATACTCACCCAGCTCTGCAGGGGATCAGCCTCCCTCGTCAGCCGAACTGGGTGGAGAGGGAATGTTGAATGTGTTACTCGGAATGAACAGCTCATGAGGCTAGGCTAATGCCTATGATGGCCCCACAGACAAGGCATCCCTGCCCATGGATCCCTTTTAATATTGTCTCTAGAAAGGGAAGGTCACGCTGATGAAGGATTGGCACCAGAAGACAACTCTTCCAAAGCACTGGGTAGCCAGACACCTGATATTCCTGACATATCGGAACTAGAACAATAGGTACTGGTGCCTGGACCTCTCCTACCTAGCACAGAGAGACATTTAAGAGGCAAGAAGCACACATGAGCTTAGGTACAGAGATAGCATTCTTCCTGATGTCAAAATGTTACTCCTACTAAAATTTCAGGAGGTCGTATTTTTCTAAGTACAGCTAAATACAGATAGGTCAGTAGGGAACAGTGGGGAGAAGACTTCCAAGAAATCACCAAAGAGGTCACACAGTCTTATTGGAAAAGCAATAGGCAGGATTCTCCACTATATACTGTAAGAGTGGAAGATAGGTCATTGTCCAGATGGGGACATCTAAAAAGGTATTTTGTTCTAAAGAAACCAAACCTAAGCACAGATGCAAATCAGCTAACTTTTTCCTGTAAACATGCCACAAAAAACTCCTTCATCTTTGTTGATTATAAAGTAATTAGATCTGTGGACTCTCAGAAGCTGGGAACTTAGGGTGTTATTTATAATTATGAAATTAGTGGAGAAAAAGACAGGCAAAGAGACGCTCCTACGCAAGTGTGCTTTCCAATGTCACTCCTTTTTAGAGCACTGACAGATTGCTGAGTAAGTGAGATCCCTAGAAAGCTCAGAGGATTTGGCTGTCATAGGCAGGTGTGACTTCAAACTTGTGGATGTTTTAGGGAGTTCAAGGACAAAGCTCTATTCCAATCATCACTAAGATGATACTGGTGTGGTATCCTTAATTCTGTTCTGAGGTTCCACATTCTCATAAGCCCTGCTAGGCTGCACACAATACCTTTTCTTTTCCTTTACTGCCCAAGTTCTGCTGGTAAAACCTAGTCTCCAGCATATTAAATTATTTTAATTTCAGTCATTTAACATTCTTTTTAGCTGTTTTCTTTTGGCTCCATCTGGACTTTGGGAAATGAATATTTTTAACGTCCACACATTAAATGCCACTCTGACAGCTGGTCCTCTGGCCTCTGGAAGGACCACTAGCCAAGGAGGTCAGGGAGACCCACAGATCAATGCCTGAGATACTACCCAGGGAGTATTAGCCGTAATGGTTCAAGCTGGACCTACCCAGCTTGATCACTGTGAGTTTTAAGTAGATGTCACAGAGTCTGGAAATTTGCAGTCAGAATCCAAATCACCTTTATAAAATGAATTCTGGACATAGGAAAAGACTTACCCATGCTTCCCTGGTGTGGGTACCAGGAGAATCTCTCTTCCAGCCTCATTGTGGGGCAGCAGCTGGGCGATGTACCTCCCAGAAGGCTGCAGGTGTCTGTGCACGGAGACAGCCAGGGTGCAGTGCTCACTGCTGCTCCTCATCCACGGGCTGAGAATGGTATGTTTGGAGTCTGCGGAGGTGTTGAGGAGGAGGAAGGAGCCTGAAAGTAACAGGAAAAGTGAATCTTCAGATGTGTCGAGCAAGACGACCACCAGCAGACCTGTGGCAGGACTTAAGATACCAACATCATCAAAGTGGGAGGTGCTGGTGGTTTTTCTCACACTCTTTGACACCCCCAGCCCCACTCCTCCTCTCTTAGCTTTCCTTTGGAAACAGTATGCCTGATACAGATAGATGGTGGTTGGGGGCACGGGCTTTCTAATCAGTTAGGTTAAGAATCTGACTTTAGCTTTCCTTCTTACTAGCTCTGTTCTTGAGCCTGAAGTTTTCCATCTGTGAAACAATAAAATCACCTGTTTCAAAGGACTCCTGTTCTTTTGCTTATTAGCTAAGAGATCTAGGTGGGAGCACTAACTTTCTTAGGTTTCAGATTCCTTGTTTATAAAGTGGGCTGAGAAGGGTTGGCTGAATTCAGTAATCTCTCAACATCCATTTCAGCTCTTGGGTTCATGAGTTATGTGAATTTGCAACTGGTCTCCACAAAGAAAGCCCTACAAATCCCTCCTGGTGCCGTGCTTGTAGCCAAGTTGTCCTCTGGGACAAGCCAACTCTGATTCCGGTAGCACAAGTGAAATGACCTACAAGAAACTTACATTCAAGGAGCTTACTGTCAGCATAAAAGCATAGCACCATTTTATGGTTCCAGGCATCCCTCTGATGCATTAATTTTATTTGCTGCATTTCTCCTTGAGGTTTTGGACCAGAAGATACTGCTCTTTTTTCATGGAAACCTATTGCAATGTGATCCTCAACTTCCCAGTTAGAAATCAATTAATAGGTGCTCAGCCTTCTTAGACATCCTCCCATTCCTACACTTAAACACTGTCATTCTATCTACAGATAGCACAGTTTATCAGTTATGCAAATAACTTAGAAGTCTGTGATAAAGAATGATGCAGATTAAAGTTAGAGGTTCCTACCAGGAAAGCACTTTCCACAATGAAGTCACTGAGTCAGGAATTAGAGGTAACTCTCAGGAGATGGATCTATATTTTACCCCTAACTTATAGAAGGGGGAATTTTCTTGTTATGCTAACAGAAAGAAAGACATGGAATTAGTACCATAGAGCCATAATTGGAAAGAAGATCAAATATGATCCTTTTCTAGCAATGATTTATCAAAAGTAGGAGTTTGAAAGTTAAGGCCAAATGCCAGGCTTTGGAATTCTAATCAGTGCTTTTTTTTCTTTGTATCCTCTTCATTATTAACAGTATTTTTTAGCTCAAAATATGATAGGGATGGCTTGTGTCCAGGATATATAGTTCAGACAGCTAAGGAGAAACAGGAACAGCTGAACATTTGACCAAATCCACCTATGCACTCCCTTATTTTTTTCTTCTTGCAAATTCTTTTTACTGGCTGTCTATTTTGAGCAGCCATCCAAGTACAGGCTTTGTTCTGGGGACACAGACATGAACTGCATACATCTCTGGTCTTCAAACAACTCCAAGTCTGGTAGAGTTGAAAAGATACACGTAAGAACTACACCCATAAGTAGAGGTTATAAAGTCATAACATACATGAAGTGCTTTGGGAGACTGCAGGAAGATGACTTTAAATTTGGGTGGGAAGACTCAAAGATACTCTCAAACTAGGTCTTATTAAGGAAGAAAAACAAAGATATGGGAAGACTCAGCACACACAAGTTGATGGAAAGAGGGATAAAGACAAAAAGGTAGATATTGTTGGGCTGCAGAGTGGAATATATAGGAGATTCGGAAATTGGAAAGGGTTAGAATGGCAGATTGTGGGATTGGAACATATAATTCCTGGGTTAAGATTTCCTACTTTAATTTGTGGATAATAGAGAGCTAGACATTTGAGCAGGTGCATGACACCATCAGAATGGGACTTGCAGAAGACTGATCTGATATAGGGAGGGAAGGAGAGAGCCAACCTCATCATTTATCACCACATTTGGACAAGGATGTGACTAAACATGAATTTGATGTCTTAAGTATATGTCTACTGTAACACAGGTGTTACGTTAAAAGCCTTTTGGAATGATTATAGTTTCGAGTTCTAGGCTAGTGTGTATCTACCCAGAGCAGCTGACAATCCTGGAAATATCTCTGGTGATATAGCCTTGTCCCAGACTCTTTGAGGGTATAGTTTGAGGTTAGGATGAATTTACAAATAAGGGGACAATAATTATGTCCTGGTCTGAGGCCTTCCTCTGATGTTCCCAACTTGGTAGAAGATTGAGCTGAAACCAGTGGTGCTCACAGCACACACTGGAACCTCAGAAACCAAGCTGAAGGTGTTGGTGTGTCAGGTCTGTGAGCTCATTTTGCATCACTTGGCCTCCTTCGTAGATGCGGGAACACGTGTAAATTCTGCAACCCGTTATGCAGTATCTCAATAATGGGACTCTTCCAAATTGACTGGAAGGTGGATTACATTTCCAGTTCTAATCTGTGAAATGATGCTTATATGACTTTGATTTTGTGCAACTGGACTATCAAGAAGAGACTGAACTTAAAAGTATTTTCACTCTCAATGAAACTCTATAGTTGAGAGCTATCTTTTCATCAGCAGTGTTTTCTCACAAAAAGGAAAAAAATACATTTCATAACGTCCTTAGGATATTGTCAGTATAAATCTTTTAAAGTCAGTGAAGATAACTCTCTCCTCTCCCTCTTTTCCGGATCCTGTTTATTTTGTGCAGAACAGCTTGGAGCTATGCAGAGCCTCCTGGAGCTCCTTCTAATTAAGAAGGATGGACTAGTGGCACACACACGATTGTGGCCACGGGGGATGGAGAAGCAGATCAAAGTGCCTAGCTCACACAGCGTGGGGATCATGTTTCCCTTAGTACTGCACTATGTTGATGTGTCCAATGATTAAGTATGAAATAGTTATGATTTTTACTCTGGTCACTGATATAGAGATGTGCAAATCCTGTCTCAACTAGCAGAGTGCAAACAATGAGCCAGATACCAAGAATTATAGATCTAGAGACAATCTTTAAACTTAGGCTCTGTTTCTGTGCAGGTACAGATCTTAAATAAATAACATATTTTTGTATTCTCTTCATTTGCTCAAATTTAACATGGGAACAGCATATTTTATATGGCTGTTGTGAAAGTTAAATTAAATAACATGAACCAAGTGGTCAAGACAGTGTACACAGTAGATACGAGACAAATATTAGTGGCTCAGTCTGGAACTTCTTTGATCTAACACTAACCTTGGAGTCAGACTGGCTGGATTTCAGTCCTACCTCTGCCACTCCCCGGCTTCTTTTGTTTATAAAATGAAAAGCTGGATAGAATCTCTCTAAGGATTCGTACAGTTCCACACTGTCAGTAATTGTATCTGCCTGGCTGGGGTATTATCTACAGGAACAAAGTTAAGTCCCCAAGATCTCAAGTCTTGAACGTTTCTTCTCCTAACTCACCTCTCTGAGGGCCGTGTACCAACAGTTTCAATCTGTTGGCCAAATATACCATGAACTTGATCTGCTGAATTGCACACTATGATTCTCTGCCCTGCCTTTGTCTTTCTTCATTTACAAAAACAAAGTTATATATATGTATACATGTCAAAAAATCAAATAGTGCACAACAGCTTATAATAACAATTTTTAGAAAGCCATTTCCAAACCCTGTTCCTTCTCACCATAATCCTACACCCAGAAAAGACCATTTCTAAGAACATCTAATTTTTGAAGTGGTTATTGTCATAATTCTAAATATTATAATCACAGTGTTATTCGTGGGTATAACTGTAAACTTTTTATACTGACAGTACAATAAGAAAAATACTACTACCCCTTGTAATTCTGAGTTTTAAAACCTTCTTCAGTTGTAAATCAGCTTTACTTCTTTATTGCTTACCTTTTCAAACTCACATGAGACATTTACTGCTCGTTCTGTAAGCTTCAGACAGCACTGCCTGAACCTTCACTATAAGATGGGCTATTCGTGGTCCTGCCCTTCCCTGTGCTTGTCCTCTGCCACATCCAGCCTCCCGAGTCAGCGGTACTTTCTCTTTACCTTGTCAAGGTTGTAAAAGAATTATTAAGGCTTTTGTGTTCTGTTTACAGGTTGATGCTAAACATTGAAAATCAATAAACAGACCTTTTATACTGATGAGTATATATATTTTTCACTGCAGTGAATAAGGGTTATATTTATACTCTTCTCTATAGGTCCAACAATACATCTCACTCCAAGGAGAATGTTTCTAGGATCAGTAGGATCCTCTCTCTCTGGCTCTCTTTCTGTCTCTCTCCTCTCTCTCTCTCTCTCTCTCTCTCTCTCTCTCTCTCTGTCTCTCTGTCTCTGTCTCTCTCTCTCTCTGTCTTTCTCTTTCTTCCTCCTCCCCTTGTCAAAATTGTGGTAATTTTAATTTGCCTTGTATTTGAATCAGGATTTTTTAATACAGTATGCCCTCCAGCATTTTTAATTGCTTTCTCCTTTCATTTATTTTATGTCTTCTTTACTGTATCACTAACAGCTCTATATACTCCTTAAAAGTCATTCTTCTTGAAGATACTGTTTTCCTCTTCTAATTTATACCAGTTAATTTCTAGGTTCCTAGCAGAGTTATTATTCTTTTCACTGAGACTCGTGCTAACCCCACCATCCTCAGGAAATTTCCTCAGAGGGAAATTTCTTTGTGTATTTTTGAATAACTGACATAATTGCATTTTACCTGGCTGGTCTCTCTATTATTCCTATCTTGGAAAATTTGCCTTGGAAACATGAAGGCTTAGCGTCACAGTTTTCTAGTAGCAGCGTTACTGAGGAAAAGTCTGACGCTGGTTTTAGCCGCAGTTTCCTTGTAGTGGGTCTCTTTGGGAGTTTTCAGAATCTTCCTTTAATTCTGAAGTTCTAAAATGTCCATACAGTGTATCTTAGATCTGCGCAAGAATTCATTGCTAGCATCCAATGGACTCTTTCAATCAGAAAACACATCTTTTTCATCTCTGGCAAACCTTATTCTATTAGTTCTCAGATAACTTATTTCCCTCA